CCATCTTCATTATTATCCTGTATTATGATAGAAAAAAGTATCAAAAATGACTCTAGGCTCAACAGCGATATGGGTCCAAAGAGCACAGACACCAATTGATATCGAATCATGCAATCATGCAGTTTACGAAATATTCTTTACGAATTACCTCTGATTCTGATTCTGACAAACCCGCTCCTTTAATTACAACTGGCTCGATCTAAAGAAAATATATATTTAGCTAATATCCGAAACAGAATGTACCATTTTTTAGTGAAAATCTCATACTCCACGTGCACTGATTTTGACTCTGATTGATTTATACTGATCCTGCCTCGATCAGAAACATTGGTCTAACTGGAACTATATCATGCAAACGAACCTAAAATCATCTGGAGTATCATAGCGTATATATATGGGGGCATTTAAATGAAGGTTTTTTACCAGCATTTGTTTATCCGGGCGGTTATTATTCTCGGCATCTTCGGCACGCTTCCTTTTCCTGTGAGTCGAACAACCTGTCTATAAATAAAACTAGGAAATTATTTATATATAGTATATTGAACAAGTTTATACATATAGTACATGCAACCTGAGCAGAGGCTATTTTCGTACATATATAGTTCGCCGTTTTTATAAGAAATGCATGGCGCATTGGCGCTTTCAGAGCCATTTAATATATATATAGCTTCAGACCGGTTTAATGCACTGCACTTACTGAACGTCTTCGCTCAAATTGTATTGCAGCATTTAAATGTCTTTTGTCTGGATATTCGGGTTCCCAAATTATCGCTTTCAATTTGTAGTCATAGCTTTCAGAACTCCATTCGAATTTCAGAAGGTTCACCGTTTTTGGCTTACGCGTACTTTCAAAATATTCTTTTAGTAAAGAATATTTATCCGCATGACCTTTACCAATCTTCGCCGTGAGCTTGTTAAATGCGTCTAAGTGTAGCTTGCAGGCTAATTCAAATTCTCTCCAAGATGTCATTTCACTAGAGCGTAGCAAATCATCTAATTTATGAGTTTTAATAACGTCGTATTCAGCGCACGTTCCAAAAGTAGAAAGGATTGTTTTACGTTTGTGAAGTTTATCAAAAAGAATCCTACAACTTGTGCAATGCCCTCTGGTACTGCGCGGTTCTCCATTTTTTCTTTTTTTGTATTTCGACATATGTTCAACTGAAGCTGGCTTTCCTTCCGAACATGCCTTATTATCCACACATTTATAAACATCCACGTCTTCCAGTTTCACACCATTATCGCCATGTTCCCTTATTTCACACAGTTTTGTATGAAGGTATAACGGTTGAACGAAGCTTCGGACGTCAAGAGAGATACCAAATTTTTCTGGATCTTTTCTGTTCTCTGCCCAAGAGACGGGTTTAAGACAATTCCCATCCCTCAAATCCCCCAAAATTTCCAACGTTGTTTTGCAAGCGTCTTTGGGATCATGAAATAAATCATTCATCTGTATTCAACAGAAAATTATGTGGTAACTATCAGTCATGTAGCAAATCCAGCAATAAGTAACCATGCACTAAAATACTAGTGCAACATCAGGAAATATTGTGCTATTTTCATTGAAAATACTCATGCAGCATATATCGTGCAAGTATATATGCTAAAGTTTGCAGCATGACATTACATAAGTCTTGCATGAATATAGTTGAAGGCCTATAATTATATAGACATAATTGTTGGGAGTTCTGCGTGCTATAATGTTTAGTTTAGTGCTATTTTTCTTTCTAAAACAGTCTGGAGGACAACTGTTACATGCAGCAGTTTGAAAAAGCATTACAATTTGCAAGTATACTTTAAACTGCAGGGGGTTTAAAATTTTATACATTTTATAAATATCAGAATATTTTTCTCTCGGTCCCGAGTGATCTAATTCGTTGACATAAAAGCATAAAAAAACTTACAAACTTTACTTGTAAGACTACTGCACTTTACAAACTACAATAATCATAACCAAACTTTGAAATTAATTTTTTTAGGCTTTTTTCAGCCGAACAGATTAATTATAGTATGCAATAATCAGTTGACGAGGGGAGTATTTCAGATTCGTATTTCTTTTAGACTGCCTCTTGGTCATATATCTGCATTTCTAACCATTTCCAGTAGAATATGAGCAGGTTCTCTGACCATGTCAGTAAGGGATTCAAATTGCCGAAGTTCATCTTCCTTGGGAAATTTGTAATAACACCCTAGAAGTAATCTAGATTTTAGTTCCTGTCAAATGGGAAACTATGATGGTAACTCATCAAGCCTGGTTCACATATATCAACTTGACATGCCTGCGCGATCATGGTTCATGTATATCTACTAAAATGGGCCATTTAGTTGTGAAGTTGCCAATCAGTTATTCAAACTAAATAGCTACATACCTAGTGTCTTATCGTTCTTCTTCAAGCTATCGAAAATCTCTTTAATGGCATTTGGATTAACTTCTGGAACTGCATGAAATAGCAAAAATATATATCAAGAATTTGGGGCAGGGATGTCCCAGTGGGACTGGGACACTGGAAGAGTTTCAGAAAATTATTACGAGTCTAAAATTTATCTGTCTTTAATAATATTCTCTATCCTGGTCTTAAGCATACACCAAACTAGATTCAAAAAAGTCAAGATTTACCTTCATCTTCGGGAGAATAGTCAAACTTCGTGGTCGCGGGATAGCCATATAGACCATGTATTAGACACAACGATTTGATAAATAAATGAAATTTTTTTCTGATTCTGTTTACAATAAATTCTCGCGGCACTTCGAAATACTCTTCAAAGTTAACAAAAGAAGATAAAACTACGAATAAAAAGCTCTCTATCTCGTTGTGAATCCAGTTACGTTCTTTTAAAAAAGAATTGCGTGAAATCTCGTCTTCTTGTGAAGCCATCAGCTCAAAAGACATTCAGCCCTTCTTTCAACTCATTTGATGTGCGTTGGTTGCCCAGTATGGGGGAACTATGTGTTTTGCATTTATATGAAAAAATTCTTTGCTTGCTACGCGACATGGTCTTAAAAATAATTAATTAAAAGTTTGCATCCTGTTGTGAACCGGCTAACGGACCGACCTGGTGAGAATTTTTTTAGTTGTGTGAGGCATTGTATACATGACAACTAGGTAGCCTAGGTATCTTAATTTGTTGTCTTGAAAGCATGCACATTATACTTAGCTCTGTGCATGTTATTATAAAATTTAGGCATGCAACCATACCGATTTCGATCATAGCTATATTATTTGCCGACGATACAAACATACTGCGTATATATCTTTGCCCTAACATTCTTAAGGTTAGGATGATGGGAATATATTGAAATAAATACTACAAAAACGAAACTCATTCCTTTTAGTTTACGAAACAGAAATTGAAATATTTTTCATATAAAATTTAAATAAAGAAAGAAAGTAAAACAAGCCTAAACCATTACTTTCTTAATAATCATTTTTACCAAATTTGCAACACGGTACGTCTATTCTCAAAAAAATTATGAAAGGTACAGATATTATTTCCAGGAATTGACACTTTACAAACTTAAACTCGCTAAAATTATTTCATTACTTACAAATTGAAATTGTAATTTGGAGTATTCGAAGTGGTGGGACCTGTTTTCACTTTTAATTCTCAAAACTTTTCACACCCCGTCCATGCACCATTTTGTTTTTTTGCTGGGAAAAATAACTCAGAAGCATTATAATATATCTATAAGAAGAAAGTGGTGGGATAGCTAAAAAATAGGAAGGCATATGGGGTAGAGTAAACAAAAAATGAGGAAGTGAAAGGTGGGGTAGAGAAAAATTAATATTGTAAATCTTTTGCTCACGAAAATCTAACATAAACCCTACAATTTATTAAGTCATCATCTATCAAGTGGCTGACATTAAGATATAGTGGTTTTTCTATGGTCTATGGAACATTATTGCAGTGTAGTTTGGAAACACAGTAATTCTTAAGCTAACTTTTCTGGTTCCCAATCCTTCGCTTGTAATTTATAATTATTCCTTTCAGAATCCCATTCGTATTTTAGAACTTTTGCCTGTTTCGGCCTACGAGTTCTTTCAAAATATTCTTTCAATACAATATATGAATCATCAGGTAGGCGGAACGGTTTACATTGTGTATGGTTTTAAAAAAAGATCCTGAGGTATTTGATTTTCTCTCTTAACCTATATTCAACAATTTCTTTGCTTTTTTCACTAGAATTATTCTCATTCACCACTTTTAACCTCGCCTAACTCAGGTTCGGATTGCCGTTATTTCTACAAACGTCAAACAGGCTTTAAACGTCAGCAGTAGTTCATCGACTCTCTGTCGTACAAAACTGAGAACCTCAAAACACTCTGTCATTGTACGGTTAGCATTGCTAAGTATCATGTTATATAGATGCTTGGAGAAATGGTTAAACATTTCAAAAACAGACATCTGTGAATTATGTCATGAACATTTTGCAACCAGACGCAAACCAAAACCCTTCTCAGAGTATGCAAGTTTGTTTTTATCAGAAAAGAGATATTCGGTATTGCAAATCCATTAATTCGCTGTATCTCGCCGCAAGAGTTGCTGGTGGTAGTTACTGCAACCACTGTGCTGCAACTTGATTTCTAATCTTTCCCTTGCCGTCATTTCACCAAAGCTTGAAAGCTAAAAGATTTCTAACTTCTTAATACCATAATTTTGCCATTTTCTTTTACCAATTGCAAAGCATGCATACACTGTGTTTCCTATTTCTTTGACATTCACAAATGACATAAAAGATGCCGCATGTTATTCTCACGTAGGCAGCCAGTCTCAAAATATAAATTAAATGTTGATGGGTGTTCAGGATAACGAAGGTAAAAACAGATTTAACCAAATTAACTGGAGAATTGCGAGAAATGCAAGGTATGTAGTTGTAACATCAATTATAGTTTAACTAAAACAAATTTTACTTAAAGATATTATCTTATATGGGTTAAGCTTGGTACATTATCTAAATAATTTATAGCTATAAATCGTTATACATCCATTTTTTTAATTTCTAACAAATAGTTCATTAACAACAAGCTGGGTTTCAGTTATCAGACTCTTCTGGTCTCCAGTCCTTAGCTTGCAATTTATAATTTTGGCTTTCAGAATTCAATTCGTATCTTAGAACTTTTGCGTTTTTCGGCTTACGCGTACTTTCAAAATATTCTTTCAATACAGGATATGGATCTTGATTCTCACCAGTCTTCCTCGTGAGATCGTTGAATGCTCTTAAATGTTCATTGCAGGCTGATTCGAAATCTTTCCAGGAAGTGTTTGCAGTGGAACCGAGCAATTCATCTAATTTACGAGTTTTAATAACATCATATTCAGCACAATTCCCGAAGACACCAAGGTTTCTTTCCAATGCAACCGAACGCCTTGACAGGGTTGGAGGACTATCGAAAAAAATCTCACAACTTTTGCAGGGCCTCATTTTTCTACGCGGTTTTCCATTTCCGCTTTTTCTGTATTTAGACTTCTTTTTAGCCAAATTTGGGTTTCTTTTAAAGTCTTTTCTGTCAACGCATTGATAGCCGTTCACCTCTGCAAGTTTCAAATCATTTTTGCGATGTTTTCTTACTTCCCGCAGCCGGGTATGGACGTATAACGGTCGGAGAAAGGGTCGAACACCAAGAGAAAATCCACAATTCCCAGGGAATTCTTTGTTTTCCATCCATATCACGGGTTTTAGATAATTTCCGTCCGTCAGATCCTCCAAAAGCTCTAGCGTTGCTTCGCAAGCATCTTCGTGACCATCAAATAAATCTTGCATCTATATTTTGGGAAAATCATGAAATATGATCAAGAAAATCGGTTGGAAGTGAGGTTTTCTGGACTCGTCGGTGATTACCATTTACCTTGGGGTAATGAAAATTTCGGTCGGAAAAACAATTGGTACGGAATCTCCAAGGTAAAACGTAAGCAACCCAGATTTTCAGATGGGCTGTCTCTTAATAACATGCCTGATCAGACATACCTACCATTTCTAGAAGAATATGAGCAGGCTCTCTGACTAGGTCGGTAAAAGATTCAAATTGCCAAAATTTATCTTCCTTTGCATCTGTGTGATAATCTCCTGAAAGTATATAAGGCAAGCATATGATGCAGGCATATATGTTAGCAACAGTGCACGTAGATCAGATTCAGTTTCCAATGCTTCCAATTTCGCTCAAACACAAATTATTTTTTGATTGATTGGTTCTCTTGCTACTGAAATCAGACTCCCCGCCTTCACATGTGGTAATCATCCAAAGGCAAAGAATGAAGCTACATACCAAGTGTCTTATCATTTTTTGTCAAGCTGTTGAAAATCTCTTTAACTGCCTCTGGTTTAATAGCTATAACTAAGATACCAAAAAAAGATAAATTAACAAACTTCTTTAAGCCCGTTGGAACAAAGTTAAAGCCAGTGCAACAATGTTGCATGTTCCAACCAACCAGTAAGTTTGTAGTTGGAAGAATATGGGGAGAAAAGTCTTGTGAGCTAGTTCCTTTAAATTATAACATCTCACATTTCGAAATATTTGTAATAAAATTAAATTTGAGGTCTAAAATATCCTTTGAAAATACCGGCAGTATATATAAGCAAAAGCATCGTTATTAATTCAGGTGTTTTGAATTTAAGATGGTGCTGCATGCAGTAATTTATTTTTATTTGACTGACCATAGATCTGCCAATTTAGCTTGCCTTATTGTTTGTCGAACCTGCATGCGTTCACAATTCTAACCGTTTATAACATTTTGAAAATAGTATTCGACTAGTGCGCTTTGAAAAGTGTTTGGCTGTTTTGGTCGTGACAGCTGACAGCAAAGAAAAGACAGATATTTGTGGGGGCGTGTTGTAATTATTAAGCGCCTATACGGCATATTTCGTTGGAACCATACAGTGGCAAAGTTAATTGCATATTTGGAAAATAATAACTGGGCAGAAATTCAAAATCTCTTTTATATATACTTGGCAAAATACACGTATTTTTTCCTTCTCCGTATCTATCGCATATACGAGACCCACTTTTGTTAGGTCTCTATTCATGTATCCCTAGCCTTTAGGCGATTTATTTGTATTTGGGGCTAAACTTTCGTCATTGAAAGTATGGTGAGGATTATAGTTAAAAATAATTCAAGCTTTACCTTCATCATCAGGAGAATAGTCAGAGTTTGTAGACGCGGGATAACCATATAGACCATGTATTTGACACAACGATTTCATTAATAATGGAAATTTTTCGCTAATTTTTTTTGAAATAATTTCCCCTCTTACTTGGAAACGCTCTTCAAAGTTAACAAAATGAGATAAAATTACGAACAAAAAGTTCTCGATCTCTGTGTGAATCCAGTTGCGTTCTTTGAAGAAATAGTTGCGTAAGATCTCGTCTTCTTCTTGTGAAGCCATCCTCCTAATATAAATTTTGTGCTAAGTCCTTAATTCTTTCTCATTATTTATAATATAAGGGACATTTTGAGTTGAATGCCAAATAAGGGGGAGAAATATATTTGCATTTATATGAAAAAATTCTTTATTATTTGCTACGACATGCAGTTTTGTTTTAAAAGGTCTTGACATCCGTTTGATTGATTGATTGCCATCCTGTTGTGACGCGGTAAGCGGACCAACCCATGCAATAAAAAAAACAAAAAAACTGCATATTTTGAGTGTGTGAAACGTTGTATATCGAAACCAGCTAACCTGGTCACTAAAGAGAGTATATATAGTTATGAGGTGTTCACTGAATTTTATCCTAACTTTCATGCATGACAGTCATAAAAGAAATATACTAAAACGTCACCATAAAACCGATCAGAAAATATTCAAAGGGAAAAACAGATCGGTGTAGGATAACGTGCATGCATATCACCATATATGATATGGGCATGTGACGGGTATATATGCAGTAAACGTTCTCTGGCATATAACTACTTTATTACTTTTATTCTAGTTTTCAACAATAGCTAACTGTTAATTATTTAAGTATTAAAAAGTTTGCTGTATATAAGATGCATAAAGTAAGATATAAAGTTAGGTTCTAAGTTACACTATTTAAAAAATTACTTACAGCCAATTATATAAGATGCATAAAGTAAGATATAAAGTTAGGTTCTAAGTTACACTATTTAAAAAATTACTTACAGCCATGTATATAAGATGCATAAAGTAAGATATAAAGTTAGGTTCGATCTAAGTTACACTATTTAAAAAATTACTTACAGCCATGCATGCATTTACTGTGTATACGCGTTGAATGTAACAGCAAAACTATTCTGAACCAACGTTATAGAAACGCGGGCAGGAGTGCATATTTACATATTAATCTAATTAAACAACTGGAACGATAACTCCTGACAAACATTCCTATTCAGCTTGAAGCGAAAATAGTTTTTTTGAGTTTTGAGACGAAATACTTGACGGCGGACGTTGGGCTGTGTGTCAAATTAAAGCTTTTGAAAAGTTATATTTGATGTAGAAATTTCAAGACTTAAACTGCAAAGGAAATATTTAAAAAAAAAAACAATTACCGACCGGCAAAAAACTTTTCACGGATATTTCCCTTTAAACTAAAGTCTCGAAATTTCTGCACGAAATATAACTTTTTATTAGCTTTAATTTCAAATACGGCTCAACATTTGGCGTCAAGTATTTCAGCTCAAAACTCAGAAAAAGTAAAAAGCACTGCCACTGGCTTAAACTGGTTTCTGTTGAAAGTGCGGCCTTGGAACTATTACCTATTGAATTAATTGTCACATTAAAAAAGTAAATGTCAACAATAAGAATAACCTATATGAGCTGGGTTTTAGTTATTTCGTGACTGAATTGTATACAAGTCATGTTTGCTATGGTCTTATGGATCATCATTGTGAATGTCTATAGTTTGGAAACGTAACATTTTATATTTATCAGGCTCTTCTGGTTTCCAGTCCTTCGCTTGCAATTCATAATTTTGGCTTTCAGAATTCCATTCGTATCTTAGAACTTTGGCGTTTATCGGCCTACGCGTACTTTCAAAATATTCTCTCAATACAGGATATGGATCTTGATTCTCACCAGCCCTCCTCGTGAGATCGTTGAATGCTCTTAAATGTTCATTGCAGGCTGATTCAAAATCTCTCCAGGAAGTGTTTGCAGTAGAGCCGAGCAATTCATCTAATTTATGAGTTTTAATAACATCATATTCAGCACAATTCCCGAAGACACCAAGGTATTCTTCATTTTCTTCAACCGGCCAGTTTTGTCGTCCATAAAAGAAAACGTACAACTCTTGCAGGGACTTCTGGTTTTGCGCGGTCTCCCATTACTTCTTTTTTTGTATTTAGATTTCTTTTTAGCCAAATCTGGATTTTCTTTAATGCCTTTTCTGTCAAAACATTGATAAGCGTTCACGTCTCCTGGTTTTACACCATTGTGATGTTCTCTTATTTCCCGTAGCCTGGTTTGGACGTATAAAGGTCGAACAAATGGTCGAACACCAAGAGAAAATCCAGAATGCTTTTCCGGGTTTTCCCTGTGCTCTGCCCATATCACGGGTTTCAGATAATTTCCATCCACCAGATCCTCCAAAAGCCCTAGCGTTACTTCACAAGCGTCTTCGTGACCATAAAATAAATCTCGCATCTGTTATTAGGTAGAAAGTGATGCTATAACTATATGATACCGTAACTATATGTAACCACATTAACCAATAGAAACTTCGCAAACCGGCATTTCTTAGAAACCTAACTTCTAAGTTTGACTAAACAGTAGTCTTTATCAAAAAGCACATGACAATTCTAAATTTAGATTTTCAAATTTGCAAGTTTATAGCATTTTACTGAGACGTCGAGAATTTTTGTTTATTTTAGGCAGTTGTTATACCACATTTAAAGCGGACAGTCTGTTAATAACTTGCCTGATCAGACATACTTACCATTTCTAGAAGAATATGAGCAGGCTCTCTGACTAAGTCGGTAAAAGATTCAAATTGCCAAAAATGATCTTCCTTTGCATCTGTGTGATAATCTCCTGAGAGTAATGTATATATATATATATATATATATATATATATATATGTTAGTAACAGCTTTTAGGTTTAGTCTCAAAGAGAAACTTATCAAGAAATTCGTTCTGTCATTGTTCTTCTAATGCATTAATTAACGCTTATTGCGGCAGTGTTATTAAAAATTTTCTAAATAAATAATAAAGCTACATACCAAGTGTCTTATCATTTTTTGTCAAGCTGTTGAAAATCTCTTTAACTGCCTCTGGTTTAACATCTGTAACTAAGATTATACCGAAGAAGATACTGGAATTAGCGAAAGACTGCAAAAGTTAACCCCCTTGAACTAGGCTGGACGCATTCTGGTCTTAACTAGATTTTCGGTCTTTTATGAGTCATTCACTATTTTCACTAAATCCTGTGATGCTGTGCGCGCGCATTTCTTGGGGTACTAAAATATGATCAAAATGGCGACATTTTGTTTTGATTTTGGCGGGATTTGGCACCCCAAGGAATGCGCGCGCACAGCATCATGGGATTTAGTGAAAATAGTGAATAGATTTTTAATAAACTATTTTTCATAATCGTTCCATCCGCGAGATTAAATTTTTGTAGGTCTCCCCATGCACCTGTGCAAGTTATAGTGTGATATGAAACAACCTATCATTATTGGCTGATTTTTAACCGTCGTTTGCTTACGGAAAGTTATAATGACCCAAATGTTACCTTTGAGATACCTAAATCTACAGATCCGTACTCGACATGCATTTTGTTCGTGATTTTTTCTCTCGCTACTAAGCTAAGAACTGTTTGGGGGGGCGTATTGCTAAATGCGCTTTTACGGCATATTTCTTTGGAACCATGCGGTTGCATTTTTAGAAAATTATAATTGTTAAGAAATTTATTGATTTTATTTCATTTAAAAATGTACACAAGTTTTCGTTCCCCGAACGTATTCCATATATGAGAATCAATTTTATTAGGTGTCTTTATTAGGTTTTATATAACTGTTAGGCTTTACGCACTTTCTAACATTTAAACGACTCAAGGACATGTTGTCAACCTAAGCAAACTTGGGTGTATCGAGGATTATAGTTCAAAAATAATTCAAGCTTTACCTGTGTCATCAGGAGAATAGTCAGAGTTTGTAGACGCGGGATAACCATATAGACCATGTATTTGACACAAGGATTTGATTAATAAAGGAAATTTATTGCTGATTCTGTTTACAATAAATTCTCGCGGCACTCCGTAATCCTCTTCATAATTAACAAAAGAAGATAAAATTACGAACAAAAAGCTCTTTATCTCTGTGTGAATCCAGTTACGTTCTTTTAAGAAATAGTTGCGTAAGATGTTGTCTTCTTGTGAAGCCATCTTTGCAATAGATTTTGTGTTCAGTCCTTCGTTCAGCCTAGTTATGCAAGGAACTGTGCATGAATATGAGTTGAATGCCCAGTATGGGGAAATAATATGTTTTGCATTTATATGAAATTCCTTATTACTTGCAACGACATGTAGGTTTGCTTTGAGAGATCCTGTTGTGATACCAACTCGGTGAGAAAATTGTGTTCAACTCAGTAACGCTCAAGCATGCTGGTGAGGATGCATTAGTTCACGGGGAAGTGGATGTCGCTCGAAGGTGAAGGGTAGGCTTAACCCATGCACCAGGGCACATTTTTATCTTGAAGAATGCACCTATTTCCGCCACAACTCACATGGTGGTTATTCGTGTTGCTCAGTGCATGATTTTTAGTAAGATATTTCGCCTGCCATACTTCCAGAGTGGCGAGGAATTAGTTTAGGGAGGAGACTACAGAGTACGTATCACAGTCATGCATGACTGAATTTGTGTGCCATGTTAGAACGTTAACTATTGTTCAAGAGAGAAATTCCAAGAATAACAATGAACTCTGGGACAGTGTCTTAACTGCTTGGAGAGAATTCCCTCACGATAATTAACTTAAGGGACTTGATAGATAGCATGCCTCGTAGGTGTTTAGCCGTCGTTAAGGTTTGATCTCGAGATTCTACAAAATACTAAACGTTGCAAAAAATGTGAATATTTCATTGATTTAGTTTTATTTTTTCAGCTTGTCCTTTTATAATCATGATCAACGATCTGCTATAAGGGATTGGGAGAACAAGTGGAAGCATGAGTCTTCACTTTCAGAAACCCGTAGGACTTTGTCTACTACAAATATTTTCAAATCAACTGTTCGTTCTGTCTCGCACTTCTCCGGACGCTTAACTGATTAGCAGTCACTCATACAGTATCTTTTATGAACTTAATAACTAACATTAACTAGATATATTACATTAAAATTAATTTAACAAGACGCCTGTTCTGGCATTAACTCCGGCGCACGTGCCAGTCTTCAATATAGAGCTTCTGAACATAAACAATACAGTTCATAATTCATATTCGCATTTAGATGCCTTGCGAACCTAAATGTTCGATCACGAAATTCAAAAGGACATTGTACTTTAAAAAGTATAGAAGTTCAATTGTTCAAAAATGTAAATAAACCGCATGATATATTCGCTTTGTCTCACACTTTTGCCTTTGGAATTCGCGCTTATATAGTTATATAGTTATAGAAATCTACATGTATTAAATATATTCTTACCCCAATTCAATCTAAACTTAGTCGAAAAGCGTGAAAAGAACTGTTTATTTGTTCCTCTTGGAGGAATTGCCGTATCATGCGAGCGAAATCGAATCGCGCATCAAAAAATTAGCCAAAGCTGTGCACCACAACTGCCACAACTCTTAGCAGATAAGACTGGGGCGTAGATAAATACGGTTACATACACATTTTAAATACTAGAATGTTTCGCGCCATTCAGACTTGCGACGACGAAAAATAAAAAAAACAAAAAAAAAACAACAAAACAAAACCAGGGCGAATTTTCAACTCCGTCGCTGACGCCGGAGTAATTATAATGATGGAATGTTGCTGGGTATTCAAACCAACCCTCCGGGGCCAAAGTTCGACTAGTTCGTGGATGCTCGCTCATTTGCTTCTAGCTTCTATTAAAACACATAAATGTTGCACCGACCTTTTGTAATGACCATGCTGTGTTTTGACCAAAACATTCCTTACCACACCATCCTTTCCAGGGTAAACTTCTCCAACTCGGGCTAACTTCCATTTCCCGTGCGGTGTCTCGTAATCGACCATCAAGACCAATCTTCGCCAATCTTCATCTGTCGTTCTTTTAATCGCTATTTTCCTCTTTTCTGCAACGTCGGGAGATACTCTCGAATAAATCTCTTCCAAAATTGCTGAACAAGAGTTGGACAACATATACCTGTTACATGACAGGAATGCATCATTATTTCTTGGGAAACAAGCGCTACTAGTCAATTAATGTACCATCTCTGTTCAACAATCATTTTTATTAACTGTTTTACCTGTGCTAGTTATTGATGGAATTGGAAGAAATGGGATATAAAATTTTCATGCACTATAAAACCAAGGGGCTCAAGAGCCAGGGAAATCGTCCTGCCGACTTGCCAGTCCGCCCCTGTTCACTGCATGGTCGTATTATAATCTTCTCTTAGCTCTCTTAATTTACACAAAAGATTACTTTACCGGGATATCCATAAAAACCATGTATTTGCCTCAACGATTTTGTCAAAGAGGAAAAGTTGTCACTAATTGTTTGTTTAATTTGGTCCTGTGTAAAATGAAAGTCATCTTCCAACTCCACACAGAATCGCAATACAAGGCCTAAAAATGTCTTGATTTCATCGTTAATTTTGCCACGCTGTTTAAAAAAGTCTCTCCCCAATCTGCCTTCTTTTTTTGTTCCATCACCACACCGTTTGGTTCAATGCAAATTACGTTGGACTGGAAGAATTTCAAGACAAATTTCCAGAAATCAGAGTGTGATCTAATTTGATAGCCGGATTTCATTTATTCACAACAGCCGGCAAACTTTGCGGTCTTAAAGCCCGCGCGGCAACACAGGTATTACTATAGCGATATTGGACAAATGTGGGTATTATACCATAGTAATATAGTTATGTTATTAGTAATTAATTTTTCATTTTTTTAATACACTTCAAAAGACTAGTTCATATAGTTATACATAAGTTCCAATAAAGTTATTCTCTCGTGTCCGTTTTACATAAAGCGACGGCAAGTTCCCATGCATGGGCGTAAAACTTGAAGGGACATTTCTATATAACTTTGTCGTATTATTATTTTGGTGGTTTGTCTAATGGTTTTTCCCCAAGCTGTTTCCGACCGTGGTTGTGAAGTTTATGTTTGACTATAAACATTTGTATTAAATAAATGGGGAAAGACGGGTCAAGTGGGCCGGGAATCCCTTATTGATTTGAATGCATATATACATGATACATTAAAGGAATATTAAATGTTTTCCGTGCAGGGATAGCGTGATACTGCACGTGGGATATTGCGTGACTTTCGGAGAGCGTGAAAAAGCATGACGTAGGCGAGCTATATTACATATATGAATGCTGCATGTCCCTTATAGGAGATTAATATACTCTGCAGAGATTGTTTTCTTGCACGGTAAACGCTAGCATACGGAAACTCTTTCCGGGGTTATTCTCCTTGAATGCGCTTGTGCTATTTTCTCGTTTTCCTATCATTAAAAACTAAATAATAAAACTAGTAATGAGTAGTAAACTACATCGGCAATGTACAGATTTGTATAAAAAATGTTTAATATAAGTATAAATAAAAACTGAAAGCCATAGCAAAAACTACATAAATTATAGATAATTGATAATTATGGTATGATCAACGTTTCGTCTTTCACGTTTTCGTCTTTAAGACATCGTCATTTCAGAGCAATGACATAGCTTCGTTTGGTTCTCGTGTTCGTTACATCGAAATGATATCCAGGATGGATTGGGAAAACCAGTAAGATCGTATTCCTTTTCCTATTTGCCTTGATTTCCATCAAACGAATTTCGATTCAAGCCTGTTTCCTTTGATCCATGAGAGCTTTTTTTGCGGCGATGTATTCTTTCGACTTAATGTTACGGTCTATATTTTCGTTTAACTGTTTCAAAGAGTCCTTACTGCCGGTTTTGATGTCCCAACCATAGTCGAGTTCCTCCTATGTGATTATAAAAAAACATGACTGCCATGCAATGTCGAAAAGTTTACTTTAAAGTTTGTTAGCAAATTTTATGACGCAGCTATGCTATATATTCACCTCTGAATCGGAGGAGTACGAATCTGATTGGCTATCGCGATCGATTTCCTCCTATGTGATTATAAAAAAAAAACATGACTGCCAGTGTCAAAAAGTTTACTTTAAAGTGTGTTAGCAAATTTTATGACGCGGCTATGCTATATATTCACCTCTGAATCGAAGAAATACGAATCCGCTGATTGGCTATGCTCCAAGTCTTCAATCTAAAACGAAATGCTATGTTAACAAAACTAAAAATACGTACAACGAAGTCAGTGACGTAGCCACCCTGACGATTTTGTCCCGCTATGTAATTTCGAGTTAGATAATTATTCATCATTTTCATGTGTTTTTTTCATTGTTCATTGTTTTCACAGTCAATGAACACCATAATATTAGCATAGCAGGACAAATCGTCAGGCTGGCTACGCTACTGAACGGAGTAAAACGTTTTTAAATGCAATGCCGATGTTTCCCGGAAGGGAACAGGTCAAAACTGTTACCCGTATATTGTGTCATAACAAAATAATATTGTGTCATAACAAAATAAAGTATGCCGTTGCCATTGGCAGTGATTTTTTGTTCTTCGTAGACAGACTGCAATTCAGATTATTATCGATAAGGATAATTCGATGCAATAAAACAACGTTAGCGTATTTACTTTTGTTTTCTTCCACCTTGTCTCGAACTCATTTTGTGTTCCCCAGTTTCGTTTCTGTTGTGTAACTGGCGCGGTGAGGTTTTCCTAATTAAGACAGGACAAATTTACGTAAAATGTAATGAAATAAAAAGTAAATTTATACGTATGATGGGTCAACTTAGCTTACTCGTCTGTTTAGACCGGAAAGTTCGGACGAGACTGAACAAGTCTGTGACCGGATTCACATCAGACAATAGTTTCCCGTCTAAAGCCCGTTTTCCACTAGGCGAATTGCATACTGCAGGATTATAACGCATACTGATTTCATACACATGTCATAATAGCGTGAAGAATTCGGCTTGTAATGTAATACAATAATAGAAACTCCGTAAAAGTAAATAGAAATTGAAAATTTAATTTTATATATGCGGCATTAAACCCATTAACAATATTTTTTAAATTCGATTGTTTAGTTTATGAGATGCTATTAATCAAACAATATAAGCCTAATCTCAATGGACAATCGGACTCGATAAAATCAAAACTGTTCTAAGTCATTAGTTTTTACCTTACTACATGTAATTATTG